GGAAGGAAGGGAGGAAGGAAGCAAGTCAGTCTTTTATGCAAATTCGCGCCAGAGGGACGATGGGAGGGAATAAGCCGGGCGAGGCGTGGCCTAAATAAATCTCTGGCGGCGGCGGAGAGGGGGGGGGGGGAGGCCCGTGTGACGTCACAGACCAAAGAGACCTGTGTGGTTGCCAACCCTTCCGGTTGTGGGTGGAGGAGTGAGGGGGGAGCCGGTGAGTGTGGGCTGAGGGGTAATCCTTGAAGCTCAGCCCCCCGGGGGGGTGGGGGGACTGCAGGGGGTGGTTCAGTGCTCCCAGAGAGAGCCGGGTCGAAGCTGCATTTGTCTATGTCTTTCCCACCGGCCTTGTCTGACTCCGACTTTAAAGAAGCTGTCTACATTGGGTGTCCTTTTCACACCTCAACAGGGCTAGCATACTTTTGCAGGTCCGCATGTGTTTAGTTGAAACTGAGCCAACTTCAGAGGACGGCGGAAGACAGGAGGGCCTGGCGTGATGTGGTCCATGGGGTTGCGAAGAGTCGGACTCGACTGTGCGGCTGAACAACAAAAACGACAACAAATGTGTTTAGTGCCCTTCTGGTGGGGGCTCCCCCGTCATTGCGCCTCCGCACTGCTTTAAAAGAATCTTCTCCAAACAACCTTCAAAGAAGCATAGAGAAAGACGGCGCCGCAGCAGCACGAAACTGATTTAGAAATGCAAATGCAGATTCGACCAGCGTCTTGTAAGAAGGAGCATTGTTGTTGTTGTTCAGCCGCACAGTCGAATCCAACTCTTCGCGACCCCATGGACCACATCACGCCAGGCCCTCTTGTCTTCTGTCATCCTCCGGAGTTTGCTCAATTTCATGTCCGTTGCCTCGATGACACTGTCCGACCATCTCATCCTTTGCCGTCCCCTTCTTCTTTGACCTTCAATCTTTCCCGGTCTTTTTATACTCATCACCTTTATTGAGCCACTACTGATTCCTTCATTTGCTATAAAATCACCTGTTCACTATTTGAATTGTAGCCAAAAGTCTTGCTTTTGTCTGACCTTTTCTGTCTTTTTCTGTTAAACTACAGTTCATTTGACTGAAATGAAGCCTGTACAGGTAGACTCCAGAATATTGTCTCTGGCTGCTCAGGTGACTGAAAGCCCTGATCTGGATGTACCTGTGTTGCTGCTGAAGATAAAAGGTAAACAGGGCTGCTTCTACACTAGACCTCTTTCGTGTGACCCAAGCAGAGTTATACCTTTCCAAGCCCTCTGGAGTCTGAATGGTGTTAACTCAGCTGAAGATTGCACTGTCATTCTTTTCTGCGGATAGCTGGAAACAGAATTGAAACCGCGATTCCATGTGGCACTTAATCTTTGTATCCGTTTCTGAACCGTGGCCTCAGACTGGCAACGGGAAGAAGAGGATGAAAAGGAAGAGGAGGGTGGTGGTGGCAAAGCGGTCATGGGGCAGAGGTGGCAGTGGGGTCGGCACCGCGGAGAGGAAGCAGGGGGAAGTCTCGGCGAAGAAAGGACAGGCTTTCTGTTCCTCGCCTCCTTCCTTCAACCACTACTAAGGCCGAGTTCAAACTGGCAATTTGAAGTGCTAGGGAGTCGTGGCAAAGAAAAAATGGAATGGACCTGGAACGGCTTGTTCCCGGTATTCCCATTCACACTGCAGTGAATGAAGCGGGAGGATACTGTGGAGGAAGCGCAAGGGAGCGTTCACACTGTCGCCCACCCTGGCGGGCTGTTAGCGTGGTTTCCGTACTCGGCTGCGAGCACCTATGCGAATGGGCACATCAGCAAATAGGGCTGGATCGACTCCACACTTCCACTCAGCATGCCGGAGCATTCCGGTCGTGTGCATGTGCGCATATGCGCACATGCACCTGCCGCGGAACCAGCTGGCACCTATTATCAACTGCGGGTTGTTCCCGCCTTAGCAGCGCTTACGTTCACACTCAGGGAACCGGAATCAACGTGCTGTATACACGGTTTGCTACCACTTTAACATGGTATCTTTTAAACTTGGGAGGGAAGCAGCACAAGACGGCTTGAGTATGGCTGGGAGAACGCCTGACAGATGTGCCTGTCTGCCCCCGCCCCTTTAATCCGCTACTGAAATGCTTCTCAAACTTTTGCCTGTCAGGCCAAACTGCCAGTCTGAACGCGGCCTAAGTGAGTGATTAGGGGGATTTCTGGACTTGGAGCAGAAGGTGTGCATGGTTCACTGTGGGGGAGTGGAAGCTTAGGCGGGAGACCCAGACAGAACAAGTATGTTCTTAGTGCCCCAAGAACGGCTGGAAAGTGGTAGAGTGCCCTTCTCCTTTCTGAGCATCCCTGGGACACTGAGAGTGTGTCTGCCAAGACGGCTTTAGTTACCTTAGTTATTGCTGCCCTAACTGCTACATCTAGTATCCTATAAGTGCTAAGAATGATATATCACTGTTAGAAGCATTTAGTAGCTGTAAGAATTCCACATAGAGATTTGCCCACGTATTAAAAGTTTTTCAGCCTATTGAAGGGCTCGTCCCAGATAGTAAACTGCATAGCAACATAGAGAATGTTCTGTTCATCTGCAAAATAGGATTCAAAGACATAATGGTTGCTGGTAATCGCTTCTGATGAAGTTTTCCATCGAAACAAAGTTGAAGCCGGACTCTTCGTAATTTGTGGATATTGTTGGAAATTGTTGGAAAATTGTAAATGTAAATTGTTGGGAAACTGTTGACACTGTGAACTGTTGGTTTGTAATACTGTATGTCTTATAAATGTATTTCCATTTGCACACTTGATGTGTTTACTATTCTAATACATTTTTTTGTGTGCATATGATAGCGACTTTCCCAGTTTGTGTTTTTTGATTTATATATACTGGGAGGTTTCTGCTGTGTTGTTATTTGGACTGGTGAAGTGTCAGAGCTTCAGGGGTTCCTAGCAATGGTCCGAGTCTCATCTCTTTCTGGGTATCCTTAGGGTTCTGACAGCACATCCCTGGGGGCAGTGCTAGCAGATGCGCTTGGGTAGCGTAGAGAATGGCCGAAAAGCGGTGGGGATGGCCACGTCTCCTTTTCAGCCCTTCCTCAGGCTGCGAATGCACACCTTCTGGGGCTTCCCAAGCTGGCCTGCTCTCAGAGCTCCACGGAAGCCTGGAGAGAATGAGGCAGGTTTTAGCTGCCAGATGATGGCGGCAAAGCTGGGACTTCTGCAGCTAACCTTCGGTATATATATATTTAAAAATCCACAACATTTGTGCCGTGCGGTGCTATTATTCCCCAGCAAAATTCAACAGTACCCGTCCCAGGCACAGTATCCTACTGTTCGTTTAATCAGGAGTCACAAATCCAATGAAATTCAGCAAGGTTCTATTTATCCTTATAATTTTATTTCTGATTTCCTTCATGGGTTGATTAAGTCACTTCCAGCCTGCTGTCTCCTAGACTTTGGCACTCATGCATTTCATCTGGTTGACGATCAGTCCTTGTTCCAGGAAGGGGTGGGCAGATGCTTAAAGCTGTTTTTCGTTTTGCAGCAGTTTATGCATTTTAAACTTTTTGGTCTTAGTTATGTATTCAAGGTATTGCAACAATCTGTTTTGTTGTTTTTTTTAAATGTGTAATCACTCCTGAGAGAAAAGCAGTGTTTGAACCCGTACCCCAAAAGGAAAAGTTACTCTGAATTAACCATTGATTCATGACTGCTGGCTGGAAGTGAAGCAGCTATTTAAGCTGGAAGTAGGAGAAGAGCAAAATTGAAGGGGGCAGTAGCACTGGGGGGAAAGCTAGTCATGGCAGAGCGGTTTGTTTTTAAGTACTACAACTCAGACCTAAAAAAGAAAGGACAATTAAGAAAACGCTGTAGTGCAAAGAGCTGCCAATCAACAATATCTGGATTCCCTTGTAAAAACAGATTGTATGATTTTCTTAAGGTTGCTATTTCTTTGGAGAGAGAGAAATGCCCTTCTCCTTTATAGTCACAGTTTAATGGGATGTTATAAGTGATATTGTTTATCTCTATGCCATGAAAAGCTTCAACTTCCCGATTTCACGCATTAAGCCTCCATTATAGGGTTGTCAGTCCCCAGGTCCCAGTGGGGGTTCCCCTGCTTTTCGGGGCTTATGCCCGCCACCAGCCAGCTGGCCAGTGGGGGAAACCCAAGCAGCCATGTCTGGGCACGATGTCCCCAATGAAGTCACCTGGAATGACGTCATCACGTTGGGGATGTCGCACACGATGCTATGCCTTGAGGGCAAATCTCTATGGTAAATTTGGTTTAAGGGTTTTGCCCTTAAACCAGAGTGTCACCGATGTGATGACGTCACTCCTGGGTGATGTCATTGTGTCAGTGACATCATCATGTCGGTGACGTCTTGGAATGCCGCCCAAATCTCCCTGCCAGTGCGGTGAGGGGACCTAGCAACCCTACTCTATTATAAAGGGCAGGGCATTCTTCCGTTAAATGATAGAAATGATTGTCATGGTAAGATGAACAGAGGGAGTAGCTGAGGTTGCGTGTTCTCATGTACTGTGATCACTTAATGTTTGTTGATGTTGCGCTTACGTTACAAATGAAACGTTGGATGCCGCTTGTTGTAATTTGAAAAAGTCTCATTTGTTTGGTAACATATGGATCAACAATTTATGTACTTTCTTTCCTAGACATCTTAACTAGTGCACCTCCTGGAAGTAAAGAATCACAGAAAATTAAACAAGACTTATACTATTATGACTTGGTTCAATATTGCCACTTGGTCCTTAAGCAAGACTACACTAGGGTGCCTGGAGGCTGGGTTACTGCTGCCCAGATAGCAGAGATCATAAGGTAAAGTCTGCCACACTTCCAGATCTTGAGTTCTGCTTTCACTTTAACCTTACCGTCTTAAAATCAATGGTGACTGTAAATTAACTTGGGGTTGTGGTGTGCTGCATGCAGACATAGGAGGGGAAAACTGTTTCTGTGTATTGTTTTCTCAGCCTGAGTTGTGTGGGCCTTGAGGTGAAAGAGGAACCTGAAGACTTTTACAATAAGCTCCTTCCTTCTGCTGTAGACAACCTCCTCTTCTTGGACAGGCGCCTGCAAGTACGCTGTAGTCGAGCAATCAAGGTATTGAACCAGATAGTTTAATGCTGTATAGTGGGAGCTGTGTTATATCCCTGTAAGAATTAATGCATTTTTGATGTTTGGTGTGTTTTTATGTTTAGCTGTTGATAGATGCAGACAGGGGATGGCATTTTTTGCCCAAATCCTACCATGATGATCTTACACCTTGCATACTGCAGGCCAAGGGCATACTGTCCATATGATCAGGGCTCAGAGCAGTTCTGTCACAACAGCACATTCTGCCCATTTATGTCACTGCTTTGTAATGCAATTGAAGATGGAGACTTAGTTTACAAACACTTGTGTGTGTGTGTGTGTGTGTGTGTGTATATATATATATATATAAACATATATGTTTATTTATTGAAGTTTAATATCTCAGTTCTCAGATAATTTTGAGAACAAAAATAAAAAGCCCCTGGAACTATGCCAACGGTTAGATTTTCTACCAGTCCTAAATCTGCAGTCCTTAACACTGGCATAGCATACATTTTGGTGTAGATTTGGTACTTCCTGGAAAGATTTATGGGCTTAATCCACCAGATCGAACGTATGGGTGACTCATGGAGCCAACTAGCTTTCTAGCATCCAAGAAGAAAAATAGAACTGGAATTCTGAAATGTGTATTGGTCTACCAGTGTTAGTTAGGTCTCAGTCTCAAAATAATCCAGAATCTCTGATGAGAAATCTGGGGCTGGACACAGGAAGGAAGTATTCTGGGAAATGCTTGGATGTGCGGATTTCAGTTCTGTGCAGGAGTCCACCTGCCCTAAGACATCACTTATAAGAATGTACATCATAAGTGCACCAGGGATTTGCTGTGTAGCTCTATATTAGTGTATATTGCCTAGTGCATAATAAATTCTTACATGGAAATGATTTCCATCTAGGGAATGGTGTACCATTGTTTGTGGTGAATGTATACATAACTGCAGCTGACAGTTATCCATGCAGTAGCACTAGGGCCAATATAACATGTAGATTGTGCCATTGCAGCTTGGCCTTGTGTTTTTGGCATCTCCTCAAGGAAATATTTCCCAGTTGCTTATTGAATTGGTTATATAAAAGCCGTCATTTGTTCAGTGTTGTTGCTTATAATTGGTTATATAAAAGCCGTCATTTGTTCAGTGTTGTTGCTTATCAGCTGTCAAATACAAGCGTCTATCGAGTTCCTGCTGCGGCAGCCAACTGTTAATTAATGCCAAATATTGAATATTAAATACAAATGCTGGCCAAGTGAGACTTGCCAAGTGCCTGTGTATTTGGACAATATTTGCCATTAAAATTCCCAAAAGCATACTGAGAAGAATTTTGAGGTTTCAGCTGCAGCAATCGAGCAATGAAGCGGACTCCTGTGTGTTCATCATGTGTAATGGTTTATCTCTATAAAGCCATTGTCCTGTGTGTTCATCATGTGTAATGGTTTATAGAGAGCCATTGCGTTGTAATGGTTAGTGCTGGATTAGGAGTTTCAAACCTGCACTCTGCCCTGAAGCTCGGTGAGTGCCTTTGAGTAGGTCACTTATCTCCCAGCTTAATTTACTTCACATGGTAGTTGTGAAAGCACAATGGAGGAAAGAAGAGAAGTGCATGCCACGCTACGCTCATTGAAGTAAGGGCGATGTTAACAGTGTGATAAACGTGTGAAGCAGCACTAGTGTCAAAATGGATACTCTTAATCAGTTCAGCAGTAACAGAAGCAGTTTTACACGCCCATTCCTTGGGAAAGCAACGGCTCATCGTTATCACTAAAAGCATTTCACACAGTTTCTCCTAATTAAAACAAAGCGTAGAAATCTCTTCTCCACCACCTGTGACCTTGAAGCAAAGAGCGTTCCAAATAACAAGCTATGTCATTCGTGCGTCTAGGCATGCGCATGATTCTCTAAGCAAACAGCAAACATAATGATCAGCACTAACGGGTTTGGGGGGGGGGGAAGGATCGGAGCATACACCGAGTACAGGATACATGTTACCACATAAATGAAACGATCAGGACCATTGGCAGCTTGCTAGCAATACTCTTAATCAATTCAGCAGTAAGTTGTCACGTTTTGCTTCCTTTCCATTCCTAAAGCAGTTTTCCAGTCCTTACAAGCAGGTGGGAGGTTGATCGGTTGCATATAGGGCAGTGATGGCGAACCTTTGAGAGACCGAGTGCCCAAACTGCGACCCAAAACCCACGTATTTATCGCAAAGTGCCAACACAGCAATTTAACCTGAATACTGAGGTTTTACTTTAGAAAAATCAACTCATACATTAACTTAAGATGATCCAAACAAAGTAAGGAAAGCAATCCCAAATGCTTTAATTGACTTAAAATTATTTGGCAGAGAATTCGATACTTTAATGACGGTCTGGGCCTGGCTGGGGCGATGACACGCGTGCCCACAGAGAGGGCTCTGAGTGCCACCTCTGGCACCCGTGCCATAGGTTCGCCACCACTGATATAGAGTATCATCATCTGCTGGCCACACATGTATCATCACTGATATAAGGTATCATCATCTGCTGGCCACACTCCGCTTCATCCAGGTGGGAGGTTGATCGGTTGCATATAGGGTATCATCATCTGCTGGCCACACATATACATGTTGATGAGCTTTTGTTAGAAAATGTTTCCCCTCTCAATATAGTTTCTTTCCCCCATTTTTGCCATTCTGTTGGCTCTTTCGCTTTAGAATGAATGCTCTTATACTGTTGGCTAGTGGAACTGATTGTACTTCACACCATATTCTCTGAATCCTCTTGTGCATTTTATTCTAGGGAAGGCTTGGTCAGTGGTATCCCAGAATTTATCATTACCACAGTTTAATTTGGTGCAGCTTTCCAATATTTTGCTGTTAATATACCTTCACCTATGAGAAGGTGAATTCTTTTTTGAGCTACACATAAGTACATGAGGTTATCAACGGGAAAGGCAATTTTTTCCCTTCACTTTCAGCTACTAGCTGCGGACTGAAATTGGAAATAGTGTGCACATGGGAGATGACCATGAAGATGCACTCTGTGAGGTCTGTGTGAAAATATATGGTGTGCTGCTTTCTTACACTGTAGGATTCTCAGTTCATGGACTGATTCATATGATGCATGAAGTCAGTTACTTCTTGATAAACATGGGGCACTTGCATGAGTAAATGAGAACAGCAGGTCCTGTCTCCCCACCCTGCCCCCAGTGACCCTAACCTTTTAGAGCTGTCCCATGCCCAAACTTTTAAATGTGACAAAAATCACTCCTCGGAAGCTCCGGATAAAGACTGAATGGGTGCCTCACAAATCTGCAGTCTGAATGTTGTTTATTCACTGCGGTATGTATATAGCGGTCTTATTTGCAAAGCACAAAGTGATTAATATGGGGTTCCCTTAAGATCCTTCTTCTAGGCAAGGATTAGGTTGATATCTTTAGCAATGCTACACCAGCAAGTGTGTCCAAATCGTTAAGTGTGCCTATTGATATTTCTGCAAAGAAGTATCTAAGCCTTAGTGATGATTGAATTTAGGCAAAACAGTGCAGATGATTATGCATAAACAGTAATGGCAGTGAACATTTCAGAAACACAGATTTGATGTGATCTGGACAGCTCAAGAAGTAGCCTCTTCTCTTCCTCCCCGTGCCTTCAGAAGTCATTTGATTGGGCAAGCAACACTGAGTTTGCATGGCTGCGGCCCTGAAGTTAAGCCCTTTTATTCGCTTAGATCAATTTACATGTTGTAGGGGCTAACGCGAGAGTAATATGGAAAACATACAGTATCCCTTTCTCACAAATATGACCTAAACTGAATATGCATGTCCCAGGTGCAGGAACACAGTCTAGCTGAAATGTGTCTATGATATGGGCAAGGCTATTTTTGGGCAGGAACGCACAGGAACGGAGTTCCAGCTGGCTTCAGAGTTGGCCACGCCCCCTACAGCCAAAACCTCCGCATGCGTGGCTGCAGAGGGAAGGCCTGGAGAGCAAAAACCCCCCAGCGACTCTGAGGTGGCGGGCCAAGGGGCCCCCTGGAAGGATCGGGGAGGCATTTAAATACCTCCCCGTGCCTTCCCTGGCCTATCCAAGGGCTGGCTTGCCCGGGCTCCCCGCAGCCGTGGGGCGCCGGGGCAAGCCAAGGGAAGGCATGGGTGTGGCCTAATATGCTAATGAGCTGTGTTGTCAGGGTGTGGCCTAATATGCTACTGAGTTTCTGCTGTTGGGTGTGGCCTGTTATGCTAATGAGTTCCTGCTGGGCTTTGTCTACCAAAAAAAGCCCTGGATATGGGGATTAAAATTGTATGATTTTGGTATGCTGGCTTAGTTAACACAAGAATAGCTGTAGAAGTAAAACCTAATTTAGCAATACTGACAACTGCTTCCATGACATCCCTGGAAACTCTGCTGTAACCCACCAATCACAGCATTGCACAGCAATGATACTCCGCATCATCCATGTATAGATGTGTATGACAGTGGCCAAACAACTCCATGACGCCACTAGGGTTGCCAAGTCGTACCTTATCCTGAAGGGGGGGACTCCCGTGTTGATCCTGGAGCGTGCGCGCATCCACGTCACCAGGAAGTGACGTGATCACGCCGGGCATGCTGGGGGCGGGGCCACGACCATCCAAGAGAAAACCATAGAGTCGGTGTGAAGTCCCCCCCGGGGCCCGATCCGGTGGCAGGGAACGGGCCTCTGGGCTGGGGATTTCCCTGTCCCCCGGGGGGGACTGGGCAAGGCTAGACGCCACCGAGTTCAGTGTACACACAAACACATTCTCTGAACACTGTGCAGTGAAGCAGCTAGGAAGATACCGAGTTGTCTCCATCTACAAAAGCCGCTACGGCTGCGGCTATGAGGTCTGCTTGGAAAAGGCAGAGGCGTCCCAGAGGAAGAGTTCTTGTCACATGAACAGGGCTTCCATGCAGGCAGATTCCGTCATGATATTGCTGTCTGCGCGTGCAGCAGTAAAACCAGATGGCCACATCAGGCAGCCGTGTAAACTTGCCCAGCTTTAATGCTCAGTACAAAAGAAGGAAACTGGTAGGGTTTTAAATCCTACCTTGAGGAGATGTGAATGTGACCTCTACAAGATGCACCATAACTTTGCTGGCAACAGTAAATTCAGGTGGGGGGAAAAGGAAAGGCAGCAAGGTCAGAATCCAGGCCGAGGTTCTTGTTTGTGTGCTCCTGGCTGTCTAGGTCAGAATGATGTTGCTTCATGCTGTACATCTTGGTATGTGGGATTTCGGCAGCCGGTGTCTTTAAACCGCCTTGTGACATGTTGGCATTAGAGACGTGAAGGCCCGGGAAAAAACTGGGGAAATTCAGGGGGGAAAAGTTTTCCCCCCATTTTTTTCCCCTGAAGACTTTTTTGTTTTTTTCTGAAAAATTGGAAAAATTGAAAAAAGAAAAGGGTAAAAAATTGATTATGGAACGTTTTATTTTAACGTGATGAATAAAATATTTTAGGACAAGGTGTTCAAATATGTTCCAAATCATTTCTAAAAAATACGTATGGTATCAGATTGATCTAATTTCTGTGCACTGAGGACGAGCAAGTCCTAGGTTACAAACTGACCTCTCCAATGCAAGAACAAAATGCATTTCTTCCTTTAGGAG